TCATCTGGATTTGCGCAAACTAAATGAATAGCAACAAAATGGCAAATGCTGTTCAAATTCTGATAAATGCAAAATTGAAAAGTGGGGTGGAGGGGAGGGTGTGGTGGGAAATCTAGGCTATAGCTGTACCTTACACTGTATAGCACCATGGATATTTCAGTGAAAATATCGACCCTCTACATAACTGTGATCAGAAAGTATGAGGGGTGCAAAAGGAATTATGTTGAAAAAGATACTTTGATACCAAACTTAATTTTCCCCCCCAAACAGCATCATCTGTAATATTCTGTGCAGTACTGGATATTTATCTTTAAAACAGTGAAAACCAGCAAAGAGAATGAGTCTCAGAAAGTTCATTCAATATCAGATGGAAGAGACTGGGGTGGTTTGCCTTAAAGATAATCAGGAACGTCATAACAGTCCATAAAAACAATGAATGGTCTGCAGCAGGTTGATCAGAAGCTTCTATTCTCTCCATTGGAGAAACACAAGAACAAATGGGATAGGAAACTAATTTAAAAGCATAGCAGATACAAAATAGAGAAAAGGAAATGTTTTGCCACATGAACAATTGAATTATGGAATTCATTGCTGTCAGAAGATGCTGTGGGGCATAAACTTAGTGAGAATCCAAGAGATACAAGATCAAGACTATCCAGAGCTTAAACGATACACGTTAACCAATTTTGAAAGAGATTACACCTCATCCTCTGAGATTTAGGCCAGTGTAACTGTTAGACTTTTTTTTTACAGCCAGATCCTAACCCACTCATGAGGCACCCCAGTGGGATCCTATTCAACCCTGATTAGTCTCTGAAAATCCATGAATGCACCTATTTTTGTAATATGCTGTCATTTGATTTTAAAACTAAGCCACAAAAAAGAGCTGTAAAAGAAGAGATGAACCTACCCAACGTTAGTACTAACAGTATAGAGAAACCTGAGCAAGGTGAAATATCATCACACTTGGATGGAGTAAGACTTGTCCTTTGCTCTCAGTTCTTAGGGTTCAGGGAACTTAAAAAGTAGGAGAGGCATTTTATCCTGCAGCTGCTTACAGCAGGCTTCTTCCCCTTTCCCTTGAAGTATGAGTGGATCTAGGATTTTGAAAAGGCGGGTGCAAGTGGTGTGGTGCATCTGCTATTCAGTTCAAGACTGAAGCAAAAACAAATCTAATTATTGGACTGTGCATTATTGTGTGTGTGTGTGTGTGTGTGTAAGCATACAACTATCCATATATAGTTGGTCTAATAAACATATCACAAAAAAGAAAAATCACAGGCCTCAAGAATAGTAAGTAGCAACATGACTGACTAAGATCTACAAGGTGTCTGCACTCCTACAACAAGCATGACAGGAGCCCAGTGAAGAAGGCTGCAGAGGCCAAAGGCTCACTGTAAGGCTTCCCAGAGCCATGTAAAGCATGCTGGGCTTTCACTGCTGCTGTTCTTTGTGCTACTGCAGGGGAATTGGGTTGTGGCCATGCATGTGGAAAAACTGCAGTCTGAACAGCATGGCCCAGGACAGGGTGCTGTTTAACCCATTCCTTGTTGGGCAGTTTGTTCCCTTATTGCAGCAGCCTTGTTACCTATATGGAATCGATGGAAAAAGGGAAGGAGCAGGGAGGGGGATGAGATTGTCCCCACCTGCTCTAGCTCCATGCCACTTAACCTATTCCCTGCTGGCTCTGGTGCCTTCCTCTGGCACATCTGGCTTATGGCTCTGCACTGTTTACCCTTATCCTACCCCCTTTTAGTCTCCCCACCTGCTCTTACTATTTTGCTCTTCCAGCTCCTGCAAGGGAACTCCCAGGCCAGCCTGACAGAGGACCAGTGGGTCAGACTCCCTCTGCACAGCTGCTGAGTGAGTGAAGCAGGAATCAAAGTAAAGTGCATCCAGACCAGTGCACCCCGCCTCTGGGTCTACCCCTGACCTGAAGCATCAGTGCTACTTGTAATCAAAGAAAGGATGCTGAGCTAGAGGAAACATGGCTCCTATCCCGTCTGACAGGTTCTAGAGGTGTTAATTTCTAGGTCAATTAGGTTCCTTTTGTCAATGAGTTTTTACAGCATATGCTTAAAGTTCAAAAGCTCAAATTTGCAAAGCTATGAATTTGGGTTCAGGGCTGTCAAACTTATTCAAGTGGAAGAGTATCTTACTTCACACTTAGGGTGGCAGTCTTGCTTTTGTGGAAGCCTAGGCATCCAGATTTGGTCATCTATATGGCATTTTCTCATTGCTTAATTTGTGTAAGTGGAAGCTTCCCCCTGCACTGCACCTCATCCTCTTCCCTCCCTGCCCCCACCATCCCCAGTAAATATGCTAGTGATTCAGCCTCAAATGGATCACTGGATGATCTGTGGCACAGTCATTAAGAGTCCTGTGCTAGAGAAAAAAGAGTAAGAAAGACTCTGGTTCAAGCACTCCTCTGGGTGAGATGGGCCTAAAACCCAAGACTCCAGCATCCTAGGCAAGTGCCCCAATCACTGAGCTGTGGAAGGAAAGCACACAGCTTTTTCTCCCTTGCCCTGAGTCTTAAGTCCAATAGTCATGGGTTTTGGCCAACTACATCTGGACTTCTGAGTTTGCTATGCAGTCTTGGCCACTACTACCCATAGCCAGACCTCCTACTCCAAGGGCTAGTCTATCCACTTGCCAGAAATCTACTGCCCAGGGGGATGGTATCAGCTCCCATGAGGATGTTACCAGCCTTAAGGTGCATCAGAAAGCCCCCTTTTCCTCTTGCCTGCATTTACTCTCCCCTCTTTAAATATGTTTATCTTCTACCTTTTCTTCCTTCCTCTTTCTTTCAGTATAAGATAAGGAATTGTGTTTCAAAGTTTGTATGTGTGTATTTTGTATCTCCCCTTTTATTTTGGTATTTTTATCTGTGTGCGCCATAGCATTACTCTTGTAGCTTATATTTTATACTCCTCACCTTTTAACTAAATGTGTTTAGTTTCAGAAGTAAGGTATACATTGTAACAATGTTAACAAGGGCAGGAATCAAACTGCCGCTTCCTTGTATCAGGCAGGCCCCTGAAAGAGTGAGTGAATCAGTGATTGAATGGTAACACAGTAGCAGGTAGCGATAAACCCCTAGGAAAACGGCAGATCAACCAAGGGAAGACATGCGGACGACCCCTGGGGCTGACAGATGCCATCCAGTAGCCACCAAGGGGGAAGTCCCACGAAGGTCAACGACCCCTGGATTGGGCAAACCTGAAAACTGGGGAGTCACCAAAGTCTGCCAAGGACAGATAAAAAGCAGTGAAAAGTTACCCTCAGCGGTGCCCTCTTGATCTCCAACTTGACCAGCACCCGACCTGTCCAGCCAGAAGGACCAGCCGGCAACCCCCTCCTGGAAGATAACACCATGCTGGAAGAAACCTCAACTGGCCATCGACGGCAGACTCCAGCACCTGTGAGATAGGTATACCCAACGCTTGTAACTTGCTACTGGGGGTGGGGCAGCCCCAAGGTTTATGATTTGACTTCATTGCAGTGTTTCAATCTGCCTAATAAATCAGAATTTTAAGGATCCTGAGTTGGACATTTGTAGCCAACAAAGGCAACACTCCCACCCATCCTGCAGAGGGAAAGATGGGGGAGGGTGACCGCAGTCTACATGACATCACCCCAGGCATGCAATGAAACCTCAGGCTTAGCCAAGGCTGGTCCCTTTTGCTTGAGCGCTCCAGTGTCCAGAGCCATCACTTAGCTTCATGAACCAAACCAGCAAATATCCTCCTCAGACCACTGCAGGAGGGCCTTAAACTGGAGTCATGGAGAAGTGCTGCTGGGGCAATGAGCGAACCATCCCTTCTAATCCCCACCTCCCCCCACCCACTTGTCCAGGGTATGAAGGGCAGCACACAAGCCTAGGTAGTCTATGAGTATATTACAGTGCAGCTGGTGGCTTAGGGGCACCAGTGGGACTAGTAGCAGATGTGCACTAAAAAAAAACAAGTGCACAAAATTGTGGTATGTTTGGGGCAGGGATGACAAGATCTTGGGCACTATGAGGACCATGGTCCCTTTCCAGGAGGAGCTGTTCAGGATCCTGGAGGACTGTGCAGTCACTCCCCACCACACCATGCACTGCACACCTACAGGCCCAATGTAGAAGGACAATGGCACTGAAAATGACTATGGGATCCCCCCTCTCACCTGCTACCAGAATGCCATGGAGGAATACAAGGATGCCTACTTACTGGACCTGTTCCCCACCCAGACCTAGGATGCACAAGATGAAGAAGCGAAATGAGACCCTCATTGAGTAGACGGACATAGACAACCCACAACAGCCACGGGTAAATTTCAGTAGATCCAGGGGAAAGGGTAATTGATGAGATTAATTGGGGCTCAGGTTGGCATGTGGCTTGTGAGTGACCCATGGCTTGAGAGTGACTCCAGGTTCTGTGTGGCATCCAGCTCAGGGAAATGCCTACATGAGAGAATGGTAAATCAGTGCAGATTGTCCCCTGTCCCTGACATTTACCAGAAGAGAGGGGAGTAATGTGTTCTGTGCAATACAGAAAAGATGAGAATCAGTGGCACACCTCTGCTTGAACCACAGCAGTTGAGCATGGGCCAGTGGCCCAGTTAAGGCTTGATGGGCCAGTTAAGATGTTCAGTGGGTGGGCCAGTTAGCATTCACCCTACTTAGGGGTTGATTTGCATTAGTGTAAAGTGGCAAGTGGAACCCTAATGCACCCAACTCTGCCCCCAGACCTTCTTATCTAGCAATGGCAGCTCAAAGCCCAATTCCTCCCCCTCACAGCAAGCTATCCCATGCACAATAGGGTATTTATGTGGGTTTGGGGAGGAGGAGGGCACCTCCCCTGGTCCACAAATATCTGCTATTGCCAGTTGAATTTCACACACCAGTACCTGGAGAACAGGGCTCAGCAGAGCTCCCACTTACACAACCAAGGTCCAACCCTAGGACAGAATTTCAGGGCACCAACACATGGAAACATACAATCAAAGGCTTTTATTTAGGTTCATCTGAGTGCAAACAGAGAGGTTGAGGGGGTAAAGCCCTGAGAGGAAGGGGCATGTAGAATAGACTGTAACCCCAAACCACCTCACATCCCCACCACCCAGTGGCTAGTGGCAGTCTTTTGGGTCCCACACAGTAGCTGCCTCCATCACTCCAGGGATACCGAGCAAAGTGAAAGTCATCATCCTTCAGGATTCCAAGTCTGCCTCACAGCTTGGGGTTGTAGTGGCAGCAGGTTCAAAGCACTCTGACAAGGCATAAGATATAGTATTATTTTTCAGGGGACAGATTGCAGTGGGCAACAGAGGCTGTCTTATTTCTGGCCATGATTGATCACTGCTTTCAATGCTAGGAAGTCAGGCAGAGCTATGAAGCTGTAATGTAAGCAAAGGAAGGCTTCTGAAACCTCACACATCCAGCAGAATCACTAGCCTTCCCATGGAGTCATGGAAGGGAGTAGCTACAGATGACTTCAGGGCTGGTGCTGGCACAAAAGCTTGCAAAAGCAGGATGGCATCTCTTGCAGGGTCACCACCTGCAAACTCAAAAAGCTCCACTCTGCACTGCTGGGACACTCTTGCTAGGGAGATAAATCAGCCAGAGAAACAGTGTCCTGAGACAGGGACAGACAAGTTAGGGAGCCACCACTCACACCTCTTCCCCCCCCTCCCCCACCCACCATACTACGGTGAGATCCCCATCTGCATGTGGAAACCACTGGGCAGGGAGGAGGTGGGCAGAGGAGACTGTGGGTAGCTGAGAGTAGCGAGCTGGGACAGTGTTTGTCTATGCCATGATCCTATTTTCATCCTGCTTGCCCAAAGTGAAAGAGGAGAGCAAGATGCACCAACTTTTCCTCATACACCTTAAAAGTCTATAACAATTTCAAGGTCTGCTCTGCTATCAATGCCTCTGGGTCCAGAACATCTGCTAACTATAGGGACACACTGAAGGTTGCTTCTACTTTGTTCATGCCTTCAATTTTACTCTGGTCCAGGAGAGCTTAGGATGTTCTTGTGTTGATGAAGGGACACTCCCAATGAGATGACCTCCCATAGCTGAAAGTGCCAGTGGGATCAGATGTTGGGAGGAGTACATGGCATCCTCTACATGCCGTGTCAACACTACTGACAGCTGGCTTGTTGCCTATGAACTCTGGCAGGACTAGTCAGAGGAGCTGCTAAGAACTTAAGTAGACTTGCAGCTTGGGACTACCAATTCCTGAAACTGGTGAGGGGCTCAGAGAGGGTCCAGGAATTAGCCCTCCAGACACATGCATCCCTCTCATTGGTCACAGAGTCATACAGGTCTTTCCTGGACAGGGTGGCTACTGATGTGGAGGATTACGCCCATGCCAAACTATAAGGCTGTGGCCACTGGTAGCTGCCTACCCTCCCCAACCCAACCAGGGGCAAATGGCACCAGCCTCACATCAGCTCAGGCTACCACGGAGAGTGGCTATTTCCCTCCATCTTCCCTTCCACTCCCCTAACCTACTCTTCTCTGGCTAAGAACTGCTGCCAGGTGGTGAGTGGAAGCAAGCAGGAGTCTGGTTAGATGTGCTGCCCCGTACTCCAGACACCTTGACCAACCATTGCCTTGCACCCCCCCAGCATGGCTGGATGCTAAGCATGGAATGGAGGCGTAAGTGGCAGGTCTGCTGATCACCTCTTGTGGATCCCCAAATTGGATGAATCAAGACCTCATCTCCTCAAATATGGTACGTCACATACTTCATTCAAGGCCGTCATCAACGTTGTCTTCTAACATGGTCCAAAGTTGGTGTTCACCAACTTCCGAATGGCCAGGGCCATGCATCTCTTGGTGGACAAGGAACACTGAAGCCTAATGTCCTAGCACTGGACCAGGAAAGGCAGCTCAGCACAAAGTTCCATGGATGAGGGACCCTGGACCCGCAGGTTCCAAGCATGAACTGCTTCCACCAGCCCAAGCACACCAGTAGTGCACAACAGCAATGAGGTGGCATCCAGTGCAGTGCCCCAGCTTCTGCAGTATCATGTTGCGGCTACTGCAAGTGGTCCAGCATGATACCCATGGCAGCATCACGATCCCCACCAAAGCATCACCTTGCTGGGGCCAGGAGCTTGCACTGTCAAAGCATGGAGTGCCTGTGGATTACAGCGGCCTGGGAAAGGATTTGCTTGATTTCCACCACTCGTCAGCTACAGAAAGTCAGTGGAGATGCAATCCCATCTAGCTTTGAGGAGGGATTGGAATTTGTTTCCTCAGTGAGACAGTAGGCCAGTCGGCGCTTTTGTCTGTACTCAGTTGTTTTTGGCTGCTGTTGAAAACAGAAAAAAAAGCCTTACCGGCCCAGTATGTTGGAATGCCTGCTCACCAACCCTCTAGCAGCAGAGTGCAAGCTGTGCATATTAGGGTTCCTAGTAAACATCACCATGCATCTACTCAGAACATGCTGCAACTTGAAGGCTCCATGACATTGTGCTGATTTAACACATACCAAGTGTCTGTGTGACATGTCCTGAAAAGGGAAAAATATGCAGCAAGTAACTTCCTAAGTTTAAGAGGCACAGTGAAAAGACTAGACATTTTGGAACATGAAAAATGAAAATAAGCATTCTTCCCTACTCCACATGGAGGAAAATAAGTTTGTGGAAGCAACATAAAAGCCATTGGCAAGGAGCAGAAGGCAAAAATGATTTCCAGAAGACTCTCCCCGAGACTGTGGGAAAGCACAGTGGAAAACTTTTCCTGTTAATCATTTATTTAAAAAAATATTTCTAAAGGTACCCTGCTACTTTCTCTTCTCCAACCCTGCTAAGTAATCTGTACCCCATGTTTGACATTTCACCACTACAAAAACACCTATTACTTGAAATGCTTACAGGTTCCCCATAACCACTATATTTATGAAATTGCTGTTCAAAGCTGCTGTTGATATGAATTATTGGCCTGGCTGAATTAGTTAGTGATTTTGGAATTTTGTGGGGAAGGATTATTTTCCCTGATTCATAGATGGCTTTTGAAGTCAGAAGCCAGATAGTTTAAGTGGACTGACTACTAACAAGAACATGTTATGCATTTCCTTACTGTCTTGGAAAGACCACTTCTGGTTGCTCCCCAACCCCCAGTTTCCAACCAATAAGATACATGCAAGGAATACACAGAAAACCAAGGAAGAGTGGAAACATAACCAAATTTTAGTATGCTAAAGGCACTGAATTAGAGTGAATGTATCTGATGAAGCTTTTAGATTGGGGTAGAAAGATTTTTGCTCACCAGTTGCACTATCAGCATGTGCATATAGTGGAACTATATGGAATCTACATTAATTCCAGGGTACCACTGGTTTGTGATACAACACGTTATGCAAAACTACTGTATCATCACGTGATAACAGCCCGAGGAACAGTAACTGCCAAACTACAAATAAATAGTCAAATGTGACCTTTCATTTCTGTTTAGTTTTCATTTTTCCTCAAGGAAAAATGATTGCTGCCAAAAGCAAAAATGTTTAAGATGTCCATTTTTTCACATGAAAAGTGCTATGTGAAAATCCTTCCTCCTCAAATACGATCCACTTTTTTTTTTGTAATGGCACTCTAAAGAATGCATAATTCTTTCACTTGTGTCTTGTGGTGATACAAAGCCATACATTTGGCGTGTTTTGTGTAGCTCACAGGAAATGTCACTGTATGTATGCCCAGAAACCCTATTTGGAAAAGCTGACATTTGTTTGGCATTTACAAGCAACCAAGTACCAATCACTACTTAGTTCATGCTGAAGCAGAGACCACTTCGAAGGAAGACTTTCTACATGAACTGCAGGATTTGGCCTGATCAGTAGTAATAGTTGCGTTCTCCCACGCAGGGGTGTCAAAGATAAGGCCCACGGACTGGTTGTGTTATCTGGCTCATGCAGCTCCGGAAGGAGCCAGGAATTTGAAAGTGGGGACCGCAACTGAATTCCAGGATATGTAGTGCTATGGGGGGCACTTTTTGGCAATGATAGGGGAAACAACAGCTGAATTAATCCTCCTAGCTCCCCCAGCCAACACGGATTTGAAAACCTGCAGTAGAACACTATTGCTACTCAGCCTGCCACCAGAGGTGGTTTAGATCTAGCCTGGAGGCCAAGGTAGTTAGTACTTAGGTGTGCTGTTTCTAAACGTTAGAACAGGGCCAAGTATTTCCAAGAGGGAAATTTATCACTCAATTAACAAAGTAAAATTTGGAAATTGGAAAACAGTATTATACAGTCAGCCTAGTACCCTGGTACAGTTGAAGACTAAGAAAATTACATTAATCTCCCAGCTGCAGAATAATATAGACAATATAGCAGGAAATACCAAGTATTGCTCAAGAAGAGCTGATACCTAATGGGAAACTAAGCTCCAAAAAGGGGCTTGTCCAAAGACATGGACAAACACTTTTTTTTTTTTTTTTTTAAGTAAAGCAAACATATGCACAATCAACATGACCTAAATGGGTAAAAGGTGAAGGGATGAAGGACAATTCCTGACAGAAGAACACACATTCTTAACACAAGAACTAGTGAGTTTCAAGTGCCTTGATGGAACCCAGCTGCAGCGAGGACAGACCTTTAATCCATCTGTATCTGCATATGGTAGATGTCTTCTAAAATGCTATGGTTTCTGTCTGTGCCATTGTACAAAGGAAATTGAGAAATGAACTTGGAAGAGATGGAGATATGATCAGTGGATTCAGAACCACAGAAAATCCTGTACATCAAATATTCTAGTGTGGTTATGTTGATACTCTAAAACTTGGCCCTGATTTGGAGTATTTCATCATCTACTCATGGAGGATCCCTGCTCAAAACACATGCCTGCAGGTTTAGGACTTTCCCCTAAAAGTAAGTGAAAATTTGTTTAAGAGAAGAAGAAAGTAGTAAATATGTCACTTGAAGAAAAAAAAAAGTCAATCAAGGCACCCCATGGTTTGAATTAATTCATGCTCATTTGCAATTGAAACTGATTTCTGAATGAATTTAAAACTAGACAAATGACTGGATAAGAATTCATGCCATGTAGTATCACAGTTCTTAAATAGTAGTTATTTTGCTTGTATTTTAAACTTATTACCGATAAACATTTAATTGCTATATACATATTTATAGACTAACGGAGACAAAAAAAACGTTTTGTGAAACCTTACAAAAAGGCATACAACTATATATAAAGATGCATCTGCATTGCCAGTACCTATTTTTAAGTTATAATATTAGAAATACATTCACAAATTGTTAAATAAGAAGTGCTTCATATTCTATAAGAAGGCATAATTGACAAGAAACGTTAGAGGTGTCAAACTGCCCTGGGAACAAAGGCCATGGTAATACCTGAATATTTTACAGGTAGCAACTCAGGGCATGAACACTCACAGTAAAAAAGTTTTGCTACATTTGTATTGGTCCCAGCTTGCACTCAAGTAATTGTTACAACTGGCCAGTACCGTGCCTTGGGCAATGGCCCCACCAGGGCTGTATTAATGCGTAGGCAAACTAGGCACATGCCTAGGGCCCTAAGTGAAGAAGAGGCCCAGTTGTGCTTATTTTACATATTATAATTGAATGGAAAAAAGTAGGGGTTCACAAGTTTGTTTGCCCAGGGCCCACTAAAGGGTTAATCTGGCCCTGGGCCCCACACAGTATGGGAGCAGTAGCACAGGGACACTGCTGCCAGAAGGATCTCAGGTTTTTGCCATAGACATGGATATTGACCAGCCATTTAAATAATGATTTTTGGTAGAAATACAAGGTGACATCTCCAGCAGCGGCAGCCATGACCTCTGATGGCTGCTCCTGCACTGCAGAATGCTGCCGCTGCTATGCCCTCCACGCCCCAGATCCAAAGCAAGAGCCAGACAGGGGATGGGAGGATGAGGCACCCACCTACCTCCATTGTAGCACCAAACCCCTTTAAGGGCATGTGCCCCATTCACCCACCCATCTTTATGAAGCTAACAGCTACAGTGTGCTCCTGTGCTACAGCACCCTTTCCCTTCTCAAACTGCTGCAAGTGCACGTTTTTCCATGCCTTCAGCTTTCATAGTGGGCTGCTTATCTATAGATTTAATCAGCAGTATACTTTGCCTGTTTAAGAGTGATGAAAAGTGGCATTGCCTATTGATATCAATGAAAACTATGGATACTTGGCACCTCTGAATGGCAGTCCATTGCTAGACAATTTAGTGATGAATTCACATGCAGAGAAACTGTCCTACCTCACATGCATTAAATTCAGCAACTTTGCTTGCAGGATTGATAGTGTTGCCACCTTACAGAATTCCACTGAAACCAAAAGAACTTTATGCAGCCTTAAGTATACCCAGAGACATAACAGAATTTGGCCTGAATTTTGGTGGAACAATTAAATAAATCTGCTGAAAATATAGCCCTTTTCTGACTTTCAGATTACATTTAAAAGGAATAATTTGTACCAGGAATTATGGCTATGCATATTATAATGAAAGATAATTTGTTCGTACAAGTCATATATAACAAGGTTATCCTAGGTATACCCTATTGTCCTGATACGTGATGCATTTACATTGAGACCTATGGACACTTTCAACTGGCTAGGTTCAAATCAGTTTCAACAGTTTCCCTTGACCAATGTGCCTCTGATATTCAGTGGTTGTTGTTTCAGATAAAAAACAAAAGTAACCTGAAATCGATTTGAATTAACAGGAGTTTGAACCATTAATCTGAAAAAGGAAAAACTTCACAAGGTGACAAGAAACATGAGAGATTTTTAGCTAATAAAGGGAGCAATACAAATATCATATGCATCAGGATCTATCAGAGATCCCTTTGAGGTTAAACCAGGATTTAAGCAAGGCTGTATCATCACTCTAACACTTTTCTCAATACTCCTGGTCTTGATAATACATCTGACGACCAACAGGCTTCCAGCCCGAGTGGAGCTAAACTACCAAATGGATGGTAAACTGTTTAACCTCAACCAACTCTGAGCCAAAACCAAGACCACCCTGACCTCAATCACTGAGCTCCAGTACGCTGATGATGCTGTGACATGTGCTCCCTTGGAAGCAGACCTTCAAGCAATTATTGATGTCTTTACCAAGGCATACAAGAAAATGGGATTGATGCTTAACATTAATACTAAGGTTCTCCATCAACAAGCTCCTAATGAACAGTTCCCAGTTCTGGTAATCCAGATCCATGGTGAGATTGGAGAATGAGTATTTCTTGTATCTCGGAAGCCATCTCTCGCAGGATGTCGACATGGACAAAGGAATCCAACATCACCTCAAATGTGCAAGTGCAGCCTTTGGATGCTTAAAGAAATGGGTGCTGGAAGATCATGACATCAGATCCTAAACCAAGCTCATAGTTAATCAAGTAGTTGTGATCCACACCTTGCTGTATGGAGCCGAGACACAGACAACCTACAAGAGACATCTAAAGTTTTTGGAGAAGTACCATCAATACTGGCCACAGAAGATCCTCTAAATCCAGGGGAAAACTGATGCATC